TATGTTTCGTATGGTGAGTGAAGAGAACCGGAGACCCTATTTACTGGCAAAGAGGCATTCCATCTTAGTCCTCACGGGTGACAACGTATCTGCATCTTGAGTCTTTATTGAGGATGGATGTAGATGTCTATGGGTCACAGTAACCACTTACCATCAGGTGGACTGTGTGCTCGTTTGTCACCCGATCCTATAAAAAAAATTATAACGGTCAAAATTTCAAATAAGATCTACCTTCTGAAATATTTTGCCTTTTTAGAGATAATTTATTGCATGTATATATATTCATTAAGACATATTATTCTTCAATGTTTTATCGATATGATTATATAAAAAAAATTAAAGAAGACGCTACAATATTTTCACAAAAAGATTTTGAAAATGAGGTTACAAAGTGCGCGCAAACTGTCTATTGTCGAATTTTTAGCAAATGTTTGCGAGTGAATTAGTAAAATTATTTTAGTGACTACATGCATTATTTCGGTTTATTTTAGAAGAATATGTTAAACAGATTGGATAACATAAAAATAAAATAAAAACTTACGCTTTTTCATTCATAAAACCAAATTTATCGGCAGTAAATACACTTTTTCAAGACCCCTTAGAAACAAAGAGCTGTACAAAACTAAATAAACATCCAAATTTTATTGTTTCTACTTATCGACAATCTTATCAGCTTTAAAAAACTTAACAAACTAAAAAAAAAACTCCTTAACACGGAGTTTACATATCTATTATATGCCATCAGTACTGCTCCAAGGCTGGCCAACACCGTTAGTCTATACAGAGCATAAACGAACATGTTTATTTTCTGGCATACCATATTAATGTGATGTTGCCAAGTCAGCTGAGAATCTATGTATCACTATGGAGAGAAAGGTTGCAGATGGAGCTTGTGAAATGGTTTCATTACGGTGGCGTAACGATAACTGTGGGGGTTTAGCATTTTTATTACTAAATTGAACATATTTCATTTCCCACCAACTTCATAAGGGGTACTCAATTCGACAGTATGATTTTTTTATGTGTGTTACCTCATAACTTTTTTCTGAGTAAACCGATTTCGATGATTTTTTTATTTGAAAGCTGGTGAGAAGTCATGTGGTCCATATAAATTTGGTCAAGGTTTGACCGATAGTTTTTGAGTTATCTATTCTATACATATAATAAAAATGTAAATAGCAGACTGTACATTTTATATTTTTGTAATAAAAGTGATTAAGAGGTAATAAAAATAAGTACATGAATACATTTCTACCATGTTTAGAATTTTCTGTCTGTATGTCTGTTTGTTTGTTAACATATCACGAAAAAAGTACTAATTTATATCATAAGAATCGTAGAGAAAATTATTAAGTAAATCTTCGGGTTATATTTAGTCTTTATTTAATTAAAATTAGTTCATTCCATCAAAAGATATAATAGATATTTTGAAGTATGGGTAGATATTAATAATAGTAACCAACATAGCCCAACGGATTAGTAAGCTGAAGTGGCGGTGGGCCGGCCATATAGCTCGAAGAAACGACAACCGATGGGTAAGAAAGGATCTCGAGTGGCAGCCTCGTACCGATAGGCGAAGTGTAGGGCGACCCCCCACTAGATGGAGTGATGACCTGGTAAGATATGCAGGAAGTCGATGGATGCAGGTGGCTAAGGACCGTGTTTTGTGGCATTCCTTGGGGGAGGCCTATGTTCAGTAGTGGACTTATGAAAGGCTAATGTTAATGATGATGATGATGGGTAGAAAGTATAGGTACGAATTTATTCAGTAGTGGCGTTGGTTGAGTCATCAAGTACATTTTAAACTGATGCCGTATTATAAATCATAATTAAATATATATAATGTTTTATAATGATTTAATGATATTTAAAACTCGGTAAACAAAAATATTAAAGAACGTTATAAATATATACATAAATATAGTGTATCTTATTATCTAATTCTAATATATATAATAGTTAACCAATTTTATCGATAGATGGTGGTACTGTACAAATGTAATACAAAAAGGCAGGTTGTAGTTATTTCCTGTAGATGAATTTCATATTTGCTGTTAATCTTTATATTACTTGCTGCCCTAATGCGTGTTGACAAACTCATTTATTCATTACCGGCGAGTACTCTGTGTGGGAAATCAAATTTTAAAAGAGTTATTAACAATTTCGTTGGTTTCGGCGAGGATCAAACTTTCTCTTTTGCTTATTATGCAGGAACTGATTTATAAGTTCTTTTATGTTTTATATAATGTATCAATCGCGTCAATTCTCTTTTATTTTTAGAAGTGATGTTAACAGCGCCATCTCTCTTTAAATCTATACATATAATAACATAGTGATAACATTATGTTGTGTCTGTTTCTGTATATTGTATATTATATTTGTGAATAAAACTGAAAATCATTAAATAAGTACATTTTTTTAATTTTTTGAATTTTCTGTCTGTATGTTTATGAACGCATCACGTCTTAAGTAAATATCTTCTTTTTTTTTTCAAAGAAATCGTTAAGAGAATCATAAAGCGTATCTTCGAGGTTTTTTAATTTTTGTTTTATTAAAATAGGTTAATTCTATCGAAAGTTATGATTATTATTTTGAAATGTAGGTTCGAATTTATTTAATGACGCCATAAAATCTCAGAAATAGTAATAAAAAGATTCGTGTGTGAAAAATGTCCAATTATAATATATTTATACCTTAAACACAGTAAACAAAAAAAATGTTTTCCTTTAAAAAAAGGATGTTTTCTCACAAAGAACGTAATAGATGGCGTTGTACAAGTTACAACCTTTTCTGAATCGCGGTTGTACAGTCTTATGAATACTGTATTGGTTTAATTAATTAATACATTTATTCCTTGCTAAGTTCACTAAGGTGTACAATTAAGGTTGCAATAAATGAAGACACGTGTCGTATAAACGGAGATATATTTGCGACTACTTTCTAACGTGGCGGACGCAGCCGCCACACCTATAACTATTATACATATTACACATACGCATAGCTGTTATACTTAAATAAGTATGGATATGATGTAGGACACCGGACACGCGATCTGAAGAGCCAGTATATTATTTATATCTATATTGTGTCCCTACACCATTCCCCTCCTTCACAAAGATTTAGAACACATAACTTACACTAGGTTAACACTCGCACTTGTATACACACTACGCGAAACCGGCAGGCGTAGGTGCGGCTTGGTTGGGAACCGCCTGCACCCGCACCATGGTCGGATTGCTTACGCTCTGCTTTGTTACCCAGCCTTTCACTACATGTATGCAACGGCGCCATAGTAGGTATCCCACTACGAGGACGAACACTATCACCAGTGCGGTCAACGTCCAGCTGATACATTCCAGCTTATAATCTGACTGATTGTTGACAGTCTGAGCTACTAGGCTGTTGCTCGTATTTTCCTCCTTGCTCTGACTCCATCCCATTTTTGAGCAATTCTAGATATATACGTCTAGCTACAATGAAGCAATTTGGACGAATATAGATACGAAAAATCGTCTCTATATGTTACATTAATAATGACTAACAATGACATGACAATAAAAAATGCTAAAATACTAAAAAGTTACCTTAGCAATTACGTACTTTGATCTATTGCAAAATGCATGCTATGCAACTCGCAACTATGTAGCATAAGGATAGGTGCACATTAAAGTATAATGTTTGCTAAATATTATTACAGCTAATTATAGTAAGTACATATAGTTTGCTCTTTAGAGTTCTACAATAAAGCTTAAAAATATAATTGGAATTTTTCTAATTACTGTATTGGATTACCTAGATATTACCTAAATCATAACAACTAATAAAAGAAACAATTGAGTAAATTGAACTGACAGGTTGTTACACTTATTAATGATGTAGGTCAGAAATCGAACCTAAAGCAATCGTAATCATAACCACTAATCCTAAGTAACGATGACACGTTCTACCTAGAACAGAATAGCTTACAATGCAAAACGTACTGGCGTCTTGATAACGCGGCCGCATCGCGTTGTTTTTGGAATTAAAACTTTGCTAGAAGCGTCTGCGTTATTTATGCTAATAAAACTATCGTTACTACTATCATCACGAAAATTATTGTTATTGCTTAAATCGTTTTCGTTCAGAATGTGCGCGGGCTTTAACCTATCCATAGAAATAGTACATTCTTTTTCTCCTATTTTTATGACAAAAGTTTTCCCTCTCCTGCTTATGACGCTATAGGGCCCATCATAAGGTGGTTGAAGAGATTTTCTCATCACATCATTCCGAACAAATACATATTTACAATTATCTAAACTACTAGGAATAAATAACGAACGCGAATTACGGTGGCACGGTGGTCTCGGATTCAAATTACGTATATTATCCCGTAACGTTTGTAAATATTCCGAATCCGTATTGCAAAATTTCGCATCTTCGAAGAAATCACCTGGTAATCTGATTGGTTTACCGTAAGTTAATTCAGCTGCGCTTACACCACTGTCACTTCTAGTAGCGGCGCGCAGACCTAACAGCACTACTGGTAATTCATCTACCCATGAACTGTTGCATTTTAAGCGTGCCATTAAAGCCACTTTCAGTGCTCTATGCCAACGCTCAACCATGCCGTTACTCTGTGGATGATAAGGCGTGGTGCGCAATTTGTGAATACCTAAGTAATACCTCCATTAACTGGTGAAAAAGGTCACTTTCGAATTGTCTACCCTGGTCGCTGGTCAGCTTCGAAGGGCATCCGAAACGAGAGATCCAACCTTCAAACACTATTCTCGCTACAGTATCCGCTGTAATGTCCTGTACCGGAAAAGCCTCGGGCCATCCGGTACACCGGTCTATCATTGTTACACAGTATCTATGACCGTCAACCGAAATAGGTAATGGCCCTACTATATCTATGTGTAAATGCTGAAAACGATCGGGTCGATCAAACTGCCCTACACCCGATACAGTGTGCCTTGTAATTTTAACCTTTTGACAATTAAGACATGCCCGTGCCCACTTTGCTACATCGCGATCCATATCTGGCCAAAAGAATTTTTTTTTATTAAGTTTTTGGTTGTTTTAATGCCAGGATGACTGAGGTCATGGACGGAATGAAATGCTGACTGCCTGAATTGTTTCGGTAAATAAGGTCTAATATTACTTGATGAGATTTCACAATACACAGGCTTGTCACAGCCGGGCAAATGACACTGCTTAAATTGCAAGTTGCTATCCGACACTTTTAATGCTTGTTGTAGGTATTCGTCACTAGCTTGCTGTATTGCGATGTCCGTGTAATCTAATATTGTCGGGCAATTTATTGTCTCTATGCGCGATAAAGCGTCGGCCACTACGTTTTGTGTTCCGTTAATATAGCGAATATCAGTGGTAAACTCGCTTATGTACGAGAGATGTCGGACTCTCCTCGGACTTTCCTTATCGTTACCGACTTTAAGGAATGCATACACTAGCGGCTTATGATCCGTAAAAATTGTTAGAATGCGACCTTCCAGTAAATTTTTAAAATGTCTGACGGCCATATAAACTGCTAACAATTCCCTATCATAGGTTGAGTATTTATTTTCAGACTCAGACAGCTTTTTTGAGAAAAAACCAAGTGGTTGCCAAATATTATTTACCTTTTGTTGTAATACTGCACCGATACTAGTGTTCGAAGCGTCGGTCATCAGCGCTAAGTCCGCGTCGGGTGAAGGATAATGAAGCGTAGCAGCGCTTTTTAGGCTCTCTTTACACTTCAAAAATGCCTCGTTGGCCCTATCAGTCCAGTCAATTAAAGTTTTATCGCGCTTTTTAGTATTATGCAAATACGCGTTAAGTTCTGCCTGATAGTCGGCTGCCATAGGAATATGAGATCGGTAAAAATTCAACATACCTAGGAATCGGCGTAGCTGCTCGACGGTTTCCGGTCTCGGATAACTGACGATAGCCTGCACTTTGCGGTCAAGGGGACGTACTCCCTCCGACGACACCTCATATCCTAAGAACTCTAACTTCTCCTTACCCAAGTCACATTTAGAAACATTTATCGTCACCCCATACTCGTTAAATCTCTGAAAAACTTTGTCTAAATGTTCTCTATGGCTGACTGCATAGTCACTGGCGATGATGACGTCATCGAGGTAAATGAATAAGAAGTCAAGATCTTTGAGGACCACCGAATCCATAAATCTTTGGAAAGTTTGGGCTCCGTTTCTTAATCCGAAGATCATGCGCGGAAACTCAAACAATCCAAAGGGTGTAATTATGGCAGTCTTCTCAATATCCGATTCTAGCACTGGAATGAAATGATACGCCCGTTTCATATCTAATCGGCTAAATATCTTTTTATTACCGGCTAACACGTACTTAAAATCTTGCAGCCTTGGTATGGGATAGCGATCGGGCTTAGTTATCGCATTCAACCTACGGTAGTCGCCACACGGACGAATGTTCCCGCTTTTTTTAAGGACAACGTGTAAAGGGCTTGCCCATGCACTCTTAGATGGTCTACATATTCCTAGATCTACCATAAGCTTGAACTCTTCCTTAACTTGCTTGTACCTGTCTGGAGGTAGAGGCCTAGCCTTCGCATGGACGGGTGGGCCTGTTGTCTCGATGTAGTGACATACGGAATGCTTAGGAGTTTCCTTATAAGACACAGGTTTAGTTAAATCCGGGTAGTTAAGTAACATATCGTGCCATTCATTTTTACTATCTATGGTTCTAATAGACGACTCACCGTTACTATTGTACGCTACAATCGAAGCGAGAACATTTAGATGCGTAACTTGATCTCTTAATTTCCGAGCGTGTAAATCTACCAACAGTTTATAATGGCTTAGAAAGTCGGCACCGATTATAGGCTGTTTAACGTCCGCTATAATAAAAGACCATCTAAATGCTCTCCTTAAATTAAAATTTAAAACTAGAGTACGCATACCATAGGTTCTGATTTCCGATCCATTCGCCGCATATAACTTATAATTATCACTCGCGATAGGTAACGACGCATACTTTTTTGCCACAGGGATCACAGATACGTTGGCACCCGTATCAATTAAAAACTTAAGTCTGGTATTCTTGTCGAAAACGCATAGGCGGTTATTATGTAACCCGATACATGCCTCCGCCCCTGGCTGTATCGTATCTAGTTTCCCTGTGCGAATGGCGTAGACGGCTTCGCTCCAGTCCAATTGCAAGGGTCTACGCACTTCGCGGCCTTGGGACCATAACGATGATGGTAAAAGCACAACCACTTCGGGTTCTTCCGGGACATACTGCCGCTGCGTTGCCGCGATCCTGATCGCCCGGGCCTCCCCCTGTTACTTGAGTTATTGTTGCGTTGATTCGACCTCGACTGACGTAGTTCTGCTATTTCGATCTGCAGTTTACCCACCATGTCCTCTAAATCGCTGAGCTTGCTGGACGTAACGCTGCTGACTTCGGCAATTTCCGCCGGCCTGGTCGCTTCCATCACCTTATCCGCCACCGTCGCCAGGCTTTCCAGGTCCTTTACTTCGGTGACAGCTAGAACAGCTTGAACAGCCGTAGGTAAATGTCTGGTCCACATAATCTGGAGTGTAGTGTCTGGCATTTTATTCCTCGCGAGGTCTCGCATCCGACGTAAGAGCTGCGATGGCTTTTTTTTTTTTATTCAATATACATTACATGTGTAATTCTTATTGAAAGTCATTTTTTACTTTACCACTCGTTCGAAAAAACCCTCTGTCCTGGGAAGAACCAGCAAGAAACCCAGCGGGACTTTTTTTTTAAATAAATTTTACAATATAAATGATTACGAACTATTTACAAAATTTATTTTAGAAACTGCTTGGAAGCGATCACCTCATTCCCAGGGGTTATTATCAACCATGTATTCATTTATACTATAATAACCCTTTTTATACAGTTTCAGCTTAATAAAACATTTAAACTTGGTAATAGAGAGAACCTGTACACTTTCCGGGACCTTGTTGTAATAGCGTATACATTGCCCCAAGAATGAATTACTGACTCTGTGGAGTCGAGAAACTGGTATCACTAGCTTGTGTTTGTTCCTAGTGTTTACAGAATGTACATCACTTCTTTTACTAAAACTATCTTTGTTTTTGTGAACATACATTAAATTTTCGTAAATATACTGAGAGGCCAAAGTTAATATATTAATTTCTTTAAATTTATCTCTAAGAGACTCTCTCGGATTTAGATTGTAAATAGCTCTAATGGCCCTCTTCTGTAAAACAAAAATAGTTTCTGAATCAGCCGCATTTCCCCATAGCAAAATCCCATAAGACATTATGCTATGAAAATAACTAAAATAAACTAATCTAGCTGTCTCGACACTAGTGAGACCTCTAATCTTTTTTACAGCATAGGCTGCAGAACTTAGTCTGCTTGCTAATTTGGATATATGGGGGCCCCACTGGAGCTTTGCGTCAAGAGTGATGCCAAGAAAAACAGTGGATACAACAGGGCTCAATTCCTCCCCATTTAAAAACACATTGGTATTCAGATTTTGAACATTCGTTGTTGTAAATTTAACACAATTAGTTTTATTTCCGTTCAAATGCAGATTATTAACGTTAAACCAATGCACTAATTTTGATATAGCATTATTCACTTCGTCACATTTAAATGATTGACGTTTAAGTTTAAAAATCAAGGAAGTATCATCAGCAAATAATACTATATCATGACTATGAGCGCCTTTTGAGCGACTTTTGAGCGCCGAGCTCCATCTCCCCCAGTAGTTTCTGAAATTGTCTGGTCTCTGACTCCTCAAACACCTGCAGAAGCCGATCCTTCAACGTCTGATACTTCCTTTCGGATGGTGGCGACAGCAGTAGATCACTTACCTGCTGTATAGCGCTCTTGCTTAATTTGGTTACGACCAGGTTTTGCTTGGCCGCATCCCCAATTTTCTGGTTTTCTATGACGGCCTCGAACTGAACGAACCAGAGTCGCGGTTGGTCCGCCCAGAAGTCGGGTATTCTAGACGATACGCTGATACTCGCCAGCGCCACGGCGCCATCTGCGCGGGTCTCCGTCGACGCCTGCTCGCTTTGGGCGGGCAGTGGTACCGGCGAGGGCGGGATAGGCGCTGCAGGAACTGGCGCAGGTCCTGGTTGTAGATGCATATCTTACCGACACTATTTCACAAACGGTTCTTCACGGGTCACCAGTGTACAGTCTTATGAATACTGTATTGGTTTAATTAATTAATACATTTATTCCTTGCTAAGTTCACTAAGGTGTACAATTAAGGTTGCAATAAATGAAGACACGTGTCGTATAAAAGGAGATATATTTGCGACTACTTTCTAACGTGGCGGACGCAGCCGCCACACCTATAACTATTATACATATTACACATACGCATAGCTGTTATACTTAAATAAGTATGGATATGATGTAGGACACCGGACACGCGATCTGAAGAGCCAGTATATTATTTATATCTATATTGTGTCCCTACAGCGGTATTAAGATTTTTCGCCGGTGAATCGTATTGAGACTCACTGAAGTAATTTATGTTCATGAGACCAATGAAGCTGAAAGAGCCGTGTAGGCTGACAGTACAAACATCATCAGGAACCAGAAAAAAAAAAATACGCCCGCCTATGCAACGTAACTCGACTAAAAGCAGCAAACTCGCAACAAAATGTCGTGATACTGTTTTTATACCCGGAATCCCAGTTATACCAAATAACTTTCCTTTCACTTTTAAACGTATTCAGTTCCCAGTCAGAGTGTGTTATGCGATGACCGTAAATAAAGCGCAAGGTCAAACTTTACGCGTTGCAGGAGTGAACATCAGTACTGACTGTTTTACACATGGCCATCTCTATGTTGCTTATTCCCGCGCTAGTAGCCCAGTAACCTTGTTGTGTACGCCCCGGTTAAGTTTACTTCTAACGTCGTTTACATAGAAGCTCTATCATAAACGACTTATAACTTTGAGGATAACGATTTATTTTGTTACCACTTATTGATACTCCTCTGTTGACAATATTAAATACCTAGGTATAATCTTAGATAAAAACTTAAATTTTAAAAGCCACATTAATCTTCTCACTGGCAGAGTCCGTAAATTAATTTACATATTTAAAACCCTAAGAAGTATTGCTAACCCTACTGTTTTACGTAAAGTTTATTTTGCCCTATGCTTATCCATTATTACATACTGTATTTCCTGCTGGGGTGGTGCTGCTAAAACTAACCTAATGAAGCTGGAGGTGGCACACAGAGCCATTTTGAAAGTGGCTACTTTCCGGCCTATCATTTTTCCAACTAATCAGTTATACAATGACTGGAACGTCCTTAATGTTCGGCAACATTTTATTCTGCAAACAGTTCTAATGCAGCACCGCAAAACCCCTTACAGGGAAACAAGTAAACGTCGAAAGGACAAAATTTGTTCTCTACCACAAGTTCGCTTATCATTCACTAAAAGATTCTTTTATTTCCTGGGTCCGTCTCTTTACAATAAAATAAGCGAAAAATGTCCTATATATGGGTTATCATTATATAACTGCAAGAAAGCTGTCCGCTCATACCTTCAAAACACATCTTATGACGAAACAGAAAAATACCTGAACTGACTGATTATAAAATAACTAACCTGTTTTATCTACTCTCTCACACAAACACACACATGCACACGCAAACACACACGCACACCCACGCATACGCACGCACACACACTCAAACACACGCACACACATACACACGCATTCATTTCTCAACTTTATAATTATAATTTGAATAACTAGAAATTGATATAATTGTAGCACTTTTAAATGTATGCATGTAAATATTATATACATAATGTTATGGGGATTGAGACTGTTACTCCTTAATACAGGTTATTCTGTAACCTAGCTAGGAGTGCAGAGCTACATCCACTAGATTTAAGGACATATTTTATAGATAGTACAAACAATGTAATGTCACACCAATGTACTACAATCACTGTATAAATTAAAAAAAATTAAAAAAAAAATTGATACAGTAATGATATAAATCGTTTAATATTATCTTACGTAAACGTCAAATTCTTTAAATAAAACCTATATACGCGAGATACGCCGGGGGCACAGCTAGTTCATAATAATTTATATTAAGTCGGTAGTAAAAAAAATTAATTTAAAATTATATCTGTATAAAGTTTTAAGTTATTACCTTCCATCCAATGAGTTAGTTTAGCAATTTCATTATTAATTTCGGGGTTGTAGTCAGTATTTGGTTTTATTTGTACTCGTAGAAGTAAGAAGGAGTAGACATTAGCTGTCATGTAAACATTGTGCTCCCGTAATTTAAATTGTTTTAAAATAGTATATTGAACTGTATCGTGTTAGATTTATCAAAAAAGTGGAGAAAAGTGTTCAATACATGTGTGAGAGTGTTGTCAAGACATATAATACGCAAATTAGACTGCATTATTGTGAATGTTATAGTGAACTATCAAAAGCAATAAAACTGATTAAATGTGCTATTTTTATATATAATTAAATACATCTAATATGCATTGATAAACAGTTGAGGCAAATAAAAACAGAAATATAACACAAGAAATAATTTAGAAACTTAAAAACCTAATTTGTGATTTAAAGTGACGGTTGAAGAAAAAATTTTTCAAACAAATACAAAACACTCATAACGAATCTGTCATTTCGTATTTGTAATAGAAGCACTGTTTTAAGTGACCAAGTAAGAAGTCAAGGCGGCGAGTTGGCTATGCACACGAGTTGGTAAATTGAAACCGGGTTCGAATCTAACCTGTACATAGGACTTTTTGTGAATATTTTAAATTTAAATTTGAAACACTATAAACAAAACAAACGTATAATAAAATAGTATAAAACTCAAGTTCCGCAGAATGCGTGACCGAGCAACTATTTTACAATTTTTTTTTAAACACTTTAGTTCGTTGATGTAAATAATGGATTCCTGTGATAGAAACATCACGCAAAGATGCAAACAGCCTAAAGGTGTAAGCAGTCATAGCAGCTATAAGAACAATTCCTTAAACATCTCTTCAAGCTTTTATCTTTCAGACAGCGCACAAAGCTTACCAGGTTTATCGAAGGCATTGCTTAGTCATGAAGTGGAAGAGTTGAGAAGTGGAATAAAAAAACTAAGAATGGACTTACAAAGAACCCAGGATGAGGTTGACAACTTGAACTTAGAAAACCACACTCTTCAAGAAATAATTACTTCTCAAAAAACTAAAATGGAAAGACTTAAATTACTATGTTCAGATTCTTGCAGTTTTAACAACAGTAAATTATCCTCAAAAAAACGCAACAAATCTATGAAATCGAAGTGTGACTCTCTAAAGACCTTAAATTTAAACGAGAGTTATAGCGAATTGAATATCAACCTTGAGAACACTACTGTGACTCCGATTAAGCACACTCAACATAAGGAGAGGACATGCAATTCTCCTACAGTTGACACGCCTAAGCGAAAGAAAAATGATGAATGTGAAGTAAATAATCAACCCATGACAGAGTCACAGTCAACACCAGTCCCCTCAACAGTAAACCCAATCGTTAATAAAACAATATGTTATAGGAATAGAGTTCTAATATTTTCAGACGGACATACACGTATGAGAAATATACTACAAAATTTGATAGGATCCAACTTCATCGTGTCCACTTTAAGTAAACCTGGTGCAACGACAGACAAACTACTTGAGTCATCTCTTGAACTATGTAAAGACTATAATAAATTCGATTACGTTGTGATTGTTTGTGGTAATAATGATAGGGACCCATTAAGACTACAGTCAACCCTATATTTTCATTTGGATAAATTAGCACACACGAATGTGCTACTTTGTAACACAAAAAGAGGTAGGTTCTTAAGTGAGATAA